AAATTCCAATAAATTAGAGCATAGACGTTTTCCTCTCTGGAAGAAATGGTATGCTTTCTTGTGGGATGCAAAGAAAATTGGACAATCCATATTTCTTCTCCTTTTTGCTTTGGCTACCAGTAAGCTCAGAGTTAAATTTAGTGCTCCACTACACTTCTTGGGATTATTTTTCTGTTATATAATCCTGTATATAAAAAATGGTAGATGTACACGATGTTCATTGTAATGTTTTTTTTTTGTTTTTTTTTTTGAGACAGAGTCTCACTCTCTTGCCTGGGGCGAGTGCCGTGGCATCAGCCTAGCTCACAGCAACCTCAAACTCCTGGACTCAAGCAATCCTTCTGCCTCAGCCTCCCGAGTAGCTGGGACCACAGGCACACGCCACCATGCCTGGCTAATTTTTTCTACATATATTTTTAGCTGTCCAATTAATTTCTTTCCATTTTTTGGTAGAGACGGGGTCTCGCTCTTGCTCAGGCTGGTCTCGAACTCCTGAGCTCAGAACGATCCGCTCGCCTCGGCTTCCCAGAGTGCTAGGATTACAGGCGTGAGCCACCGCGCCCGGCCTGTAATGTTATTTTTAGTGGCTAGAGATTGGAAACAACCTAAATGTTCATCGGTGGAGGACTGGTTAAATAAATTATAGTACATCCAATAATGAAACACTCTGCAGCCATTCAAGGAATAAGGCAGCTTTGTGTGTACTCTTCAGAAGTATTAAGTGAACATAAAACAATGCGTGGGACAAAATCAAGTGTGCCTGTGTGCGTGTGTGCATGTGATGTTCATGCATACATAGAATAATACATAGAACATTAAACTATCTCTGGAAGAATAAACTGGTTATAGTGATGGCTTCTGGATGGCTGGGGTGCATGGGCAGAGGAAGGCTATCTTTTTACCCTTTTCTGCCTTTTGAATTTTGCACCATGAGCATATTTTACCTATTCAGAAAATTATAGAAATATTTAAAAGTTAATTAAATGCCCATTTGTAGGAAACACTTTATTAAAGATTCCTACAGTAACTAGCTCTCCTTTTAATTAGCATTTCCTTTACTTTAAATCAGATAATTTCCATTCTCGAAGGGCTTTGAGAACTCTTTGTCTCCCCTGAAATGACATGCCAATTTTTCCATGTTCATTTTTTCATCATAGAAGCGTCTATAACTTTCATTAGATTATTAAAGGTAACTATGATTAAGAACCAGTGCCCTAATGGTTTCTTCTTCTTCTTCTTTCTTTTTTTTTTTTTTTCCTTGTTAACGATTTTACATGGTTCAAAATCAAAGCAGTAGCAGTTAAAGCACCTGGTTATTTTCTCTACAGATTACACTCTCTCCATCAAAACAATATAAAGGGTATATAGTGTCTGATGGTTTCTAATCAGTTTTTATTTATTTGCAGCTGTTCTATTATCTATATCCTTTTATTGGAAGCTACCTTAAACTCTTTTGAGATGTAGGGTGGGTATAAAGTATAAGTAAACAGAACCAGACATTGAAATCAAAAACCAAAACCAAGAGAGACTAGCTGACTATCAGTATGATTAAGACATTGAACCCGGAAGGAGGCAACTCTGGTTTATTCCACAAGGCAGGGCACTGTGTCCATGGTATGGAAATCGGGTATTACTGAGACTGAGTGATTAGGGGCTGATATGTCAGTTTGACCTTGGACTTCTCTGCTCCATGTATACTTTCTGGCCAAAGGGAAAATGACTGTTTATCTTCCAGTGGTGGGGAGGCTTCTTGGCTGTAGGAGCAGCACCATTTATCTGTTGACATCTGATTTCATTAGAATCAACGAAGCATTTCCTAACATGCCATTTATTCTTTAGCTGTGCCAATACGCCCATGTGCCATCTCCCGAGATATTTATCTAGGTAGTTGAGTCCTCCAAGCTACACGACCGTGTCATTCTGCTGAATATTTTATGACGAAAGCAGCTTGGTTTCTGTGCCTCTCTACCTGCCTGCAGACATGTTTTCAGTTTTACATGATCACAGGCAGTCAGACAGGTTCTAAGGGAGACCTCAAACACTGTGGGCAGATGGGTCTTCATCCAGAGAAGTCCCTTAACATTGTTCGTCAACGATAGTTGACAGAAATTCTTTTTGGCAAGTAAAATTGTTACATTTATAAATATTTAATATGTTAAGGTATTATAATCATTACATTTTATTGGGCTTCCTCTCTGCGACTTGACTGTCTAATTCTTTTTTTCTACCTTTTTGAAGTCTCCCATCTAAGAGATGGAAGTTGTCTTAGAGCTCATCTATTCAGCCCATTTTCCATCTGAAGAAATGGAAGCAGAGAGGTATTCAGTCGTTGGCTTCAGCTTTGACAGCTATTTAGTGGAAGAACTTGAATTCAGTGCTCATTATACCAACTGAGACTGCAAAAAATATAGAATGAATTGGTGTTGGTGAGTGCAGAGATTGAAAGGGAAACAAAGGAGTGAAATCGGCCTTATGGACTAGATAGCGTTTGGGTGTGTTTTAATACCAAAGAACATGTTTTCTCTAAAATATTAATCATTCTTTCAAGAAACATTTATTGTGTACCAGATACAATGCTAGACAGAAGGGCTGTGTGAGATGCATAAGACATGCTTCTTGTCCTATTTTATCAAATATTTCTATATAACTTTGAGCTTCCAAATGACAAAGTATTTAGGAGGAAAATACGAAATAGTTATTTAAGAAGGGAATGCATTCAGAGAAGAGAAAGAAATGAAATGGGCTAAAAGATTCTAGTATTTTATAACAATAAATTGATTCTCCCTTAAAGAGTATTTGATATACATTGTGAGATTATCCAAATTAGATACATTTTAGTGTGGTTGTGTTGAATCCGTTTTATAGCTAAGGAGATAGGCCTAGATAGCAGAAGTGACTTGCTCCAAACTCCCCACAGTTTCTGGCAAAATCCAGCCTTCCCAACACTTTGCCTGGTGCTACATGCGTTTTTGGAATGGCATAAATTCTATTTTGAAAGTGGGGAAACGACACAGGCAGAGGGCAACTGACCCAGGCATTAGTACTCCCTTTAATTTAGCGCCTGCTCTCAGGCCATTTGTTTTCTAGCGGGAAGCTGAGCTCTCCAGGACTGGGAGACTGACCCGAAATGTAATTACACAGCTTAAAGCCTCTGGTGGAGAGGGTCTTGAGGAGCTGCTACGACTCAGTCTGTACATATCTGAGCCTTATATACAAGGGAGAGTGACTGATAGTCATCCTAAAAGATAAAATAGCCAGGCATGGTGGCACATGCCTGTGGTCCCAGGTATTTGGGAGGCTGAGGTGGGACGATCGCTTGAGCCCAGGTATTCAAGACCAGCCTGGGCAACATACTGAGACCTCTGTGTCTAAAAATAAAATAAAAATGAAAAAAGACGAAATACATGAAGGTAAAGATTAAACTTTGAGACAGAAATGACTCCCTTGGGTCAGTTTCAGTAACATCCCCTTCACTTCTTTTGCTGCATGGTGCTTTCATCCTTTAAGAGTTTACTGCCCTGCTTGACTGCAAGCCTGTGAGGCCCAAAGCCTGCTTGTCTTACTATGAGATCTACAGCACCAAGCACATGCCTGGCATGTAGCAGATACTCAGGAAGTATTTGCTGAATAAATAAGAGATAAAGGAATCGAATTACCACAAAGCTTATGGCTTAAAACAATACGTATTTATTATCTCACAGTTTCGGTGGATCTGGATTTCAGGGACAATTTATCTGGGTGTCGTTGGATCAGGATTGCTCATGAAGTTGCAATCAAGATGTCAGCCACAGGCTGGGTGTGGTGGCTCATGCCTATAATCCTAGCATTCTGGGAAGCTGAGGTGGGAGAATTGCTTGAGCTCAGGAATTTGAGACCAGCCTGAGCAAGAGCAAGACCCCGTCTCTACTAAAAATAGAAAAAATTAGCCAGGCGTGGTGGTATGTGCCTGTAGTCCCAGCTACTCAGGAGGCTGAGGCAGGAGGATTGCTTGAGCCCAGGAATTTGAGGTTGCTGTGAGCTAGGCTGACACCATAGCACTGGCCCGGGCAACAGAGTGGGAAAAAATAAAAATAAAAAAGAAAGAAAAAAAGACAAAAGAATCAAAAACATTGCTTTTTCTGCCCTCAGAATGTGTCCAACATTTGCTATTGAACATTCTGTGCCTTTTCCTCGTGCTGACAACTTTCCTATCTAAAGTCAGAAGCTGAGGCTCAGTGCATTTCTGTTTTAGGAAATTGAATTGAATCTGTACATCCCAACCGGAGAAATTTAGTTGGAATTGCACATGAAACTGAAGCAACCCACAAATCAGCACCTTGTCTTGCTTGCCTTAAGCCCCAGAGGGCCTGTAGGAGCACCCTAAAAACCAGTAGGCTATTTTCACCTCCATCCATACACCCGACTGTATGCCCCTCACCCAATAACCTTTGTGGGAGTGTTTCCATAGGTACCATCCGGCTATTAACGATTCCAAAACTGGAGCCACTACTGATAAATTCCAGTATGTTGCATAAAAACAGCTTTGGCCAGGTTGTCCAGCTCATAGCCCACACTATCCAGAGACTTTAAACTATTGTATAATAATTTGCCTGTCTCCTCCAGGTGATGGCAGATTAGAAATGAGAAGCAATTAGGCAGCAGTTGCTTCCCAACAGTCTCTTCCAGTTTGATCTGCCTCTTGTTTGCGTTCTGACTTAGGAATTGCTCCTTCCCATCGTTTTGAAGCCAAACCCAGTCCATTTTAATTACTTGTCAATTGCTAGAACAATAAGACTACAAAGGAGGCAGATGGTACAAACAGACAGACAGAAGATACAGACATTAGCGAGACATGTAGGGGACTGCACTGTGCTTTTCAAAGGCACATCTCACCTGCACTGCAAGTGGAGAGGACAGGGTGGGGGCTGAGGTAGGAACAGTGTGTTTTGCCCTTCTTCAAGTGAACTCGGACATGTCCTGACTTTCGCAAACACTTCCCCTTCCCAGCAGCCCCCACTCACCTCTGCGGTGGGCAGTTTCCAAGCTCCTCCAAGGTCCTTGCCACAGGTCAATCCAGCCTGCCTCCTCTTCTCTTTCAGCACCCTGCTTTGGTGGCTGCTGCTGCTGCTGGCTAACCCTGTCGTTCACTCAGTAGGCTGGGAGGCTGGCCGTGGTGATCTCATTACAGAGCTGCTGACTGGCTTGGGCCAGGCACGTGATGAGAGAAAAAGTTTGGGTCTGCGTGGGCTGGAAACAAAACACCCTTCTACCCAGAGGGCATGTCCTTAAAGCTGAGAGGAAATACGCAGTTCAAGCAGAAGCTTGAAAAAACTGTATTTGGCCAAACTCTGAGCTTTCCTCCTCTTTTTGTCTTTTTAAAAATTTCCTTCATCTTTCACAACTTAAGAAAATGTGGCTATCGCATCGGAGACAGATTCAATAAAAGAGGTGGGTGTCAGATAAAAGTAGGTAGTACAAGTTGATGACCAGAGGACCTCATTTTCTTACTTTTCATTGCTTTTCTTCCTATGGAAAGCAGGCAAGGGAGGAGACATGCAGGAAAGGTACACCCACAGAGGGTAAGTTTACATTTTGAAACAGGGGAATTTAGGGTACAGAACCCATGACATGAAACAGGGAGCACTTTTGAAAAAGAGCTGAGTTTTTATTTGTAAATTTCTAAAAATTTATTTGTGAATAGGCGATATGTGCATATGATATAAAATGCAAAAGGATAAAAAAAAGTACAGTGAAAAAATAAGTCTTTTTAAATTCTTCTCAGTCCCCTTATTTTCCTCCCAAAAGGCAACTCCTGTGACCCAGTTTTTTGTGTAAATTTCCAGAGCTTGCTTATGTAAACAGACACGTGTATGTCTCCCACCACTCCTTTGGTGACACCACCACATGTTTATGTTTGCTCTGCACCGTGCTTTTTTCACTTAACACTCAAACCGTGGAGATTGTTCCATATAGTACTTTTAAGGGCTGCCATATTCTTTTTAATGGCTGCATGCTGTCCCATTGTACAGATGTGTCATATTTTATTTGGCTAATAAAGGACCACATCTCGGTCATCTTTTCCTGCCTAATTTATCCTTGCACAAAGCCAGGGCTCAGTAAATAGTCAATGCTTGGCCGGGTGCGGTGGCTCATGCCTGTAATCCTAGCTCTCTGGGAGGCCGAGGCGGGCGGATTGTTTGAGCTCAGGAGTTCGAAACCAGCCTGAG